TATTATTTGATATGCTGCGTCCTTTGGTATCGAATTCTCCGGCATCTTAAACCTAAGATAAAAATATTGCAAAATAAATAAATTAAAAATGTTTTTCAAAAATCTTAAACCCCAAGAAAAGAAATGATTGTTAAATTAGTGACGAAACTAGAAATTCTCCTAAAAATGTTCATGATCTTCCACAATGAGTTGACCAAAAGAATCCAAAATTCAAATTGCATGAGTAATAATAGATCCGAATGTTATTGTCTATTGTTTGTGTGAATCTCGCTACAAATGTTCGAAATTTAAAGGTATATCTATGAATTGCTAGCAAACTTAGGGTCAACATCAAGATAGAGATAAAAGAGAAAAGAATGATGTTTGATGTGAACCGGAGCAAGCATTCATTTCGCTAATCAATCGAAATAAAAAATGACTTAGACTGAAAAAGACACTCAACTTTCAATATTAAGTAAATGTTTGATGTACGTACTAAGATATAAAGCAAAAAATATTATATAATAGATTAATTTACCGAGGAAGAGAAATGCGGACATAGCGTGAAGCAAAGGTGGAGTGGACGGAGAGATCGGACTCGGAGGCAGCCTTGGATATGACCATGGTGGTGGTGAATGGTGGTGGACGGAGGAGAGAGAGTGTGTGTTCTTTTTTCTCAAGAAGGAACGACTTTGAGAGAATTAATTTCTTCTTCGTTCCTTCGTTGAAAAAAAATGGTCGATAAGAGGTTACTATTTATAAACAAAAAAAAAAGATAGTGCAAAGGGTAGGCATATTTATAGGAATTTCTTTTTTATTTTTAAAGGGGTAGAGAGACTATAGTAAAAATAGAGGAGATGGTGTAATAATTTTACTAGTGAAGTAGCATGAAATTCTCTATTTTGGTTTATGATTTAAATTTTATTATTTTAGTTGATTAAAAAAATTGCACTTTTATTTTCTTCTCTAAGATTTTACTAAAAAGAAATTAAATGGTTTCATACATAATGTTAAGCCAATAGTATTTTTTTTTCTTTTCATGTTTAATTTATTTTAAAGAAATTTGTATATATTTAAAAAGGAAAGTGTGGTGTACTAAGCTATGTGTGGAATTCGGAAAAAAGTTAAACTACAAGAATCTTTTGTATACAATCTTATTCTACATTCGGTAAGAGACATGTTTTTACAGTTCAAATTGACCTTCTGATCACATGACACGTAACTCTATCAATTTAATAATATTTTTATAATTTGTTCGTTTCACATATTTTATAAAGTACTTGTTCCTTCCACTAATACTGTCTAATATGAACAGTACGACTTAGACAAATAATTAAGAAAAACTCAAGTCTACTTTTTTTTTTTTGCTAGTCTTTCATAATTTTGTTGAACTTTATTGACAGCTAAGTCACATATTTGACTATTCCAACGCGTTTCTAACGTTCTTCATGGAGCTTTCCAAAAATACCTAGATATAGTATTATTATTTTAAATCTCGTCTGTACCAATAATAGTTGCTTAAACAATTTAATATATTGACTTTCATCATGTGGGAACATGTCATTAATTTAATTAAGTATAAGAAGCAACTGATCCAACCAATGAATTAACGTTGAGAATAGTCCACTAATGTTCGCTATATTAAAAAATAGAAATTCAATTTCTATCTGTTCACAAAAAATTAAAAATTAATTACCTTTTTATATCTATTATACATTAGTATTAAGTATTAATTATTTTTATTTCATCAATAATTTAGACTTATACTATATACTTATAATAATTAGAGGTAATATATAAACTTATTTATTTTTTAAAAGGCGTATCAAATTAGACCTGCATAAGTAAATATGGACGAAAGGAGTGAATATTAAAGAAACAAAAGAACATACTCTACGAACATAATTAGTTTGAACGATTCATACTAAATGAAACGCATAAAGATGCGACTTTATTAAATATAAGTAGATCGATCAAGTGCACATATTTTTTTATTTTCCACAGAATATATTCTTCAATGAATTATTAGATATATTATAATCCAACTACCAATCACCCAATAAAATAATGCAGACTTCTTCTCTCAAGTTTTTGGCAGTTTAAGTCAAAATAATACAACTAATATAATGATGAGTTGAATTTTTAGATGATAATTTAGTTAATTAGAGTAGTAATTATTATCTTAGAAAATTATTATTATTTTATTGAAGGAAATTGAAATCAACAATAAATGTGATTTTTCGAAATAATAACTATTAATTGAGTGGTCATTTGAGAAATCAACTCCTATCACGAGGAAACTAACTTGGAATCTCTATTGAGCTAACTTTTTTTTATGATTTTGAAATATTAAAGATAATAATAAGAAGGCTCGCATCGAGAGTATTATGTGATAAGAAGGTGCCATCAAAATTTAAAGATGAATACTAATTACTATATAGTAATGATCAGACCAATTACTATGATGTATCATGTATGGGTTGGAGTGGCCAACCAAAAATTCTCACGTTCAGAAGATATATTTGCGAAAAAAAATTATGTGGCATATTAGGAAAGATTAGAAATGAAAATATTTGGGACAAGGTAGAAGTGACCTCGATGGAGGACAAGTTGCAAAAAGTGAGGTTGAGATGGTTCAAGTATATTGTGAAATGGAAATGCACGAATGCCCCCAATATAGAGGTGTGAAAGGTTGACAGTGGATGATTTCTAAAGAGGTAGAGGTAGGTCAAAGCAGTATTGGGGAAAGATTATTAGACAGGACATGATGCAAGTGCGGCTTGTCGAGGACATGACCTTAGATAGGAGGTTGTGAAGGACACAGATTAGGATAGAAGGTTAGTTGGACATAGTAGAGCAGTGTCCTACTTATCCTTCCATACTCATAGTTGCAATATTGTTCTTGTGCTTCTTGTAATTCGATTTCTGTTACTATATTTTGTCTCTTGTACTTCAAGTATTGTGATAGTTTGTTATTGTTACCATTTTTTTTCAGAATGTTTCGTCATAGTTGCTATAGTATTTTTTTAGCATGATTTCTTCACTTCCGCTTTTTCTTGTTTCAATATGCTTTTTCTTGAGCCAAGAATTTATCAAAAACAACCTCTCTGCATCCCAAGATAAGGATAAGGTCTGACTACGTTGTTTAAAATGACATTTCCAACTATTTTTGAATAAAACGTAGAAAACAAAAGTGAAAATGACACTTTCCAAGGACTATAGTTGTGTCTTATTGATTGCATACCTTCATGAAAAGTCATGTATTTAGGATTATTACTTCAATTCTCACTAACCATTAGGTAGTTGTGCAAAGTTTGTTTGTTCATACATATAGCGAAATGTGATTCTTTTCGTTTGTTGAGTAAAGTTTGTTTGTTCATACATATAGCGTAATGTGATCCTTTTAAATTCCGCACATAATCAAGTCCAGCCAACTTTTCATTAAACATTGTTATATAGATATGTTGGAGGAATATAGACCAAGACGTAACAGGAAACCAGTTTTGACATTAGTTTCATAAGGTCACTTTAACCATTAATGGTCATCTCATGATGTTTAAATGTTAACTCATTTTAAGACGGAGACAAAGTTAGAATTTTAAATTTATTATTTTGAGTTGTAAAAAAATGATTGTTGAATTTTTTTATAAAATATTTATACATATTGAATGGATTTCTAAGCATAAATATGGGTTTAGCTCAAAGATACTAAAAGTTAACCTGTTAGCACTACTGTAACTCTGCCTCGCCCAAAGATTGCCATTGGGACGTTTAGCAAGGGTGGGTAGATCTAGCAAGTAGAAAATAAGTTATGGATTCATCTGAACCTCATGTTTTTTTGTTTAAGCCCTATACGTGCTTAGACAGTACTAAGAAGTAAAAACGTATAAATAATACATTTCAAACCCAATAAATTAAAGGAAAACTTTCAAAAATGCCTACAATTTGGATTTAATTAGAGATCTATAGCTATAGTTTGCATAATAACAAATTATAGCTACGTGTTGGGGGGAGATATGCAAGCGAGACTAGGAGAGGGGGGAGAGAGGCAAGCCGGATCTGGGAGAGAGAGGAGAGATGTGAGAGAAGTTGAATACATTTTGTATTCGTTATATCAGGTTGAATCACTAATACAATTGATTTGTATCAAAATGAATACAATTAGGGAAGAGGCGAGTGAGATCGAGAGAGGCGAGCGAGATTGAGAGAGGGGAGAGAGAGGCGAGCGAGATCGAGAAAGGGAGAAAAGAGGATGAATAAATGTTGTATTGTTGTATCACGAATACAATTGATAAAGAATACAAATACAGTTGATACAAATACAAATATTAATACAAATATTATTGTCTGAATACAATTGATTTGTATCATATATCGAACATATTTGTATCAATTGTATTAACGAACACAATTTGTCTCAACGAATACTATTGGCAGAATACAAATTGTCATAACACAATTGATACAAAATATGCATACAATTGATATGAAATACAAATACATTTGATACATAACACAAAATACAACTGTCATATTAATGTGGAATATTTCTTTGGGCTGCAATTGTTTGGACGGGAGAGAGGGGGGGGGGGGGGGGGGGGGGGGAGGGGGGGAAGGGACAAAAAAGAGAAATTAGCAATAAAACCCTACATATAGCTACAAATTGTAATATTTTAAACTATAGTTTTTCTCGTAAATACATATTACATGTTTGCCTTGTTGGGTAATTTTTTTCCTAAATGAAACTAAATGTAATAGAAATTCGAATTAAAACTCATAAATTTCAAATTTTAGATCTGCGCTTCTAAAGAAAAGTCTCAAGAGAGGGAAGGAGCATTTTTTTTGGGCAAAAACAAGAAGAAGAAAATCTTGAAAATACAGTGACATACTTCAAGAACGAAATCGAAGTTTAATTGCTTATAATTAGAATTAAGAGAGACTAAACTTCTTTAAGAAAAATATTAATACTCAAGATATGGGGATTGTAATCATTTGAACTCTTACAAACGATTACCGTAGCCAAAACAAAATTGTTCATTTATTTTCGTTAATGTGATAATTCTCTATGAACTGCAACCAAAAATTACTCCTTGCTTCTTTGGAACATCCTATGTTGTTTAACACCAGTAACTCAACTCTCCTATATGTCCTCAGGACCATTGACATCCTGGAAATCAATGTAACAAACTTTAGTAGACGTTTGGACATGAATTGCGTGATATTAGAAAAAATAGTTATTAAAGATAAGTTGAAAAAGGGTATTTGGTTGTTGAAGTTAAGTTTGGAGATATACATCTTCTTGATCCGAAATGGCTGGGGAGAGGAAAGGTTCTTTTTTGGGTTCTCATGGGAACAGATCCGGAGGAGATGAGGTGGGGCCTGTAGCTGAGAGGATTAGGGTATGTGGCTACGAACCATGGTGTTGGGGGATTCGAATCCCTCCTCACCCACAACCGGCCCAAAAGGGATGGGAATTTTTTCTTTTAACTTGAAAAACTCTTTTCGAGTTTGGAGTGAAAAATTGACACAACGTATAACCAAATAGGTTTTTGATGAAAAGCAATCTCAACTAAATAGAATAGCTCGCATGCATTTAGATCCATGGAATTACCTTATTTGCAATCACAGCTCCATCTGGAATTTCTAACTTCACTCCGGATTTAGCATTGACAGTCACATTCCCCTAAAAGGTATGAAAACAAAAAAAAAATTAAACACTATTAAGTCATATGAAAATGCCATGAACTAATGGATCTGAACATCGTCTAAGAAGACCAACTCTACCGGTGAACACGTGAGATCAAGGGAGATGAAGACAAACTTTGTTAATTACCTTCAGAGTAATGCCAGCTCCAAAATATACATCACCAGTGACCTTCAAGCTATCTAGCTCAATAATGCTGGGAATCGACTTAAAACGACTTAAGAAGCTGGCAACCTGAAAAGATAAGTAGACTTATTAGCTGGCATTCAACGAAAGACCAACCAATCTACCATGTTAAATATAATTTCAGGAAGTAAGCTCAACCTTCTTGAATTCAGGTCCCAACTCAATAGAAGGGTTAGAAGGATTTGCCCTGGCTGGATTGCGGATGACATAGCCATCATCAGTCAAGGTGTAAAGATCAGACTGTAAAAATTATGCAGGTGAATTAACATATTATAAAGAACATTGATTAACAGGGGATGAATTTTATCAGTAATCATGACAAACACGGAAATTAACCTGGACAAGAAGTAAATCTGAACTTGCTTTCACTGGAAGGAAACGAGATCGAGGAACATTAGCTCCAATAGCCTGATCAAAGAACTGGCAAAGAAAAGAAAAGAAAAAATGTAAATGCTTAGCCAAACTTCATCAGAAAGAGGAAACAGTTCAACAAAAATATCAAGACTTAAAGGAATGACATTAATGATTTAAAAGCATGAGGTTAAGGTTTTGGGATACCCTAATTGCAGCACCAGCAGCAGTTTCAAGTTGAAGAACTTTAATCCCGTCTACTTCCTGCAAATCAACTTAGCTACATCGTGATCTTATGCGAAGTACTGAAACATTCAACTTCAGCCTCAACTAGCAGAAAACGATACCTTGGGGTTTGGAATTATCTCCATCTTGAGTGCATCTGCTTCTACAAGTCTTTTAACAGCATTTAAATTCACCCACCTGTTTGTATAGCCAAGGGTTCAATCAGTGCACATTTCAAAGGAAAAGGAAGTAAGAACATAAAGCTTAGAGTAGGTTAAAAAAGACATCTCAACTTACAAGTTGTTGGTGTTAAAAATCTTGAACTTCTCTATTGACTTAAACTCATTGACCTGTATCAAACAAGTTTCTTATACATCAGATGTGCCACCTCTGGGATGGATTAGAAAGAATCATATGCACGGTAAGGTTAGAAGGAAAAACGGAATTGGATACGTCTGCAAGAAAAATGTCAACTAACTAATCTTGTTAAAATAACAGCAGCAAATACTAATCTAGGAGGAACATTAAGCAGCTCACAACTTTTAATGTTTACATATAAAATACATGCAACAGAATTAGCTATTTCATTAGAAAGAAACATCTTGATAGAAGGGAATTGCAGAGGAAACTAGATTGTTCAGACAAAGAACTATCAGGTCTATAGTTAGTAGAGTTACTCAGCCATTTGAGCTAATCCAATTAGATAACTCGAGTGAAAGTATATTTGAAACCCTCTGGCAGTCTTCAGGTGTATTCATAACAGTTTCATGCAGAGCATCAAACAGAACGGTGAATGAAATAAAAATGAGATAATTTCATCGGAATTGGATAAATACGTCGGGTATTGATTGAGCTGTATGTCACAGTACAACTTGAAAAAATTGACACAGAATCAGTCATTTAAAATGTTCTTTTAGTTCTTTTATTTTTATTTTTTTTGCTCTCTATCTCCTTATGTCAGCTGCAATTTAACATCTTCAACGTCAATGCATACTATAATAGCAATAGAAGAAATAGAAGAGGCATGACTCACATGTTGATCAGGAACTTGAGCTATTTCCAAAAGCTGCACCACCACACAAACACAGAAGCTTAATAAGCAAGTTGTGTGAAATTCACTCATAATTAATAGCTTTAATGCAGCAAAACAATTATCCTAAGATCTCACAAAAAGGGAAAACCAAAAAGAGTAACAGAACACTTGAATTTGGACATCCATCATAGGTTTGCAAATGGTGTTTAACAGCAAGCATAATAAGCAGGAACTGTGGTGATTAGAAGTACTGCAAAGAAAGTACATTTCACTTCGCAGGTGCTACCTTTTCTTGGACCCCTGTGTGGTGTAGGCAGGAGGGATGGGAAGGGTTAGGACACATGATGAAAATCCTCATAACTGGAGATTTGACCAATTGATGTCACCCTTAACCCATCTAAAACTAGTACTCAGTTGTTCTAGTGAAGGAGAAAAGATACGGGTGGTGGTCCTAATGTTGTTTGAAATATTTACATCTTCAGATGATGAAATGCAGAGACAAGGATGTCATAGCAAATAACCTCAACACCCTACAACTTTTTTTGGGGAAGGCCACATACCTGTACTTTTCCGTCGTAAGAGATTAAGGTGCCACCTTTAACATCAGCTAATGTTTTTGGTGTCACCTGCAAAAATTGTAAAGATTTAAAACTAGAGAAACTAGAAACAGCTTTTACCTACCAAACACACAGCCTTAAAAGGCATTACAGTCATTACCTCCATGCAGTACTCGTTCTTGTTCTGGATCAAATGATTTAGGATTTCTGTAATGTTGAATTAAGGTAACTACACTGCACTTGGCGGTGATTGAGAAAAGTCTATCACTATTGGAAGCTTCTTATGATTGAGATGTTAATAAATGAACTCAGGCTTTCATACACATTTGAGAATCATAGCAAGGATACTCAAATCAACCACAGCGCCCAAGTTATCTGAGTTGGCAACAAAGACATATTCCTTTCCCTGTAACAGATTGAAAAAGCAAATTAGCCATTGTTACACAAACAGTAAATATATAAAAGACAAGCCCAATGCAAGGCAGAATCAGAAAAAAGCAGTAACATGAAGAGCAGAACCTTCGATAAAAGTGCATCAAGCTTGCCACTATTCATCAAAGAAGGAAAAACATCACCATGACCTGGGGGGTTCCTGTACATGTGAACACTGCATTAGCTGAGCGAAATGCTAAAATGAAACCAACAAAATAGAAAAGGAGTACAAGAACAGGACCAGACGATCAGAACCCATGCACAATCTACTCCAGTTGAGATTCAGTATGAAGAATTAAGAATTTGATAATCTTAGCCTATGTTTGAAATGGATTGTTTTATGAAGAATGATTTATGTCACAGAAAAGCCAAATGAATCAGAATTTGCACTCTCATTCTAGCAGCAGCAAACGTAGTGGCATACTTGGTCACAGACAATATGAGTACAGATTTTTTTTTATTTTCCGATAACTACAATAACAAGTATAGATGCAGCTTGAAGGAGGAAAACTTCATCACCAATTACAGGTTTAACTTAAGTGACAAGAAAAGAGCGTGAAAATTAATACTTAAGAAAGAGCAGTTAGACTAACTGAATCATCACTTAAAAGATAATCATTAGATGCAGATTCTGACATTATAATTCAGTATAACACCCACAAGAATTTTTTTTGTAAATGTTTCAAATGGTGAGTTGATTCCATTTTTTAATCGTAATCACAAAGTCCACACATTAAACAGTTTAAATACCATCCATCTTTGCCAGCATTGCCTTTGCAAGGAAGTGGAGCAAAGTCCTCAATAACCATACGAGGATACTGACTCTACAAAAATTTAAAGATGAAAGAATAAATAAACCTATTCAAATCCAAAATTTTGGGTGAAAAAACAAGCTAGTCGATACTTAATATCATTGATGTTCAGCCCCACTAACCTGATTGAATGTGTGAATCTCAATGTTTGAGTTTGAATATTTTTCTACAATCTACGTAGAGAATGCAAAGGCAAAATCAGCAGTTGAATCAAATCCAAACACTGGAGAACAATCATGGATTACTATGCATCACAATGATATTATTTCACCTTTGCTGTATCATCATGGGTGTTGAATGAATTCATCAAAAGCAGGGGAACAGTGCATCCATACTTGGTATTGAGAGCCTACAGACAGCATCCTTTTGTTGGTAAATATATATAAAACATCATGGTGAACTAAATTGATCCATAAAATCATAGATACCTCAATTTGTTTGACAATCAAATCAAGGAATGTCAAACCATTACGAACTTCAATAACTGATCTGCATGGAAGAAATACAAACTTCAGACTCTGAGAAGATATAAAGATCAATAAATAACCCAGCTAAAACTTCCATTTTTTGATGAGAAAGGAGAGGTTTTTAACATATCTAGACAAACTTCTCAAGAACCCATGCATCATCATAAACACCACAAAGGTAAAAGGTAAGGAGGTAGCACCTCGGCTGCCAACAAATGTAAAATCTGATCTACTTATAAATTAACCATCATATTTCTCCTATCTACATCACACCCCTTGGGAGGTGGCCCTTCCCTGGACCCTGCTAATGCGGGATGCTTTGTGCACCAGGATGCCCTTTTTTTTATTTCTCCTATCTGTATTCTTGAAAAGGTGTCACTTGCAGAAAAGTGGTTTAGTATTGATCATTCAGTATTATAATTCTGCCAAATTCTATCTAGTTGCAGTGTTATGAACCGAGTCCAGCCCAATGTAGATATTAATGTCATACAAGTTGTTATTGGGCTAACAAGAGCTATTGGGCCGAGAACGAGGAATAGGGTCAGGTTGATTTGGGATCCGGGTTGAGTAGTGGGCATGAAACGGTTCCATCAAAAAGGGTAGTGATATGTGAGTTAGGGATTATGCAAATTATGTGAAGCTTTGGCTTTCTGATCCTCTCATCTCCTTTCTATGGTCTAGAATCTCATCCCCTTCTAGTTACCCTCTTCTATGTTATCTATCTATAATTAGTGTGTTGTTAATGTGTTGTGGGTATTATACGTTGTAACTTGTATTCCGTAATAACAATATATATATCAGTGTTTGTGTTGAAAATTGAGTTTGTTACATTGGTGCTTTCATTGATTTGTCTACCATGGTGGACACTTCGCTCACCTCCCTTAATGAATCTATTTGTGCATTCCGCCAACAATTTGATTTCCTCCAGTCATCCCATTCAACTCCTCGTCGTATACCGGATTCAGTTTTCCTTCCACGATTTAGTGGTGATAATCCGGCAGTCTGGGTTCTTCAGGCAGAGAAGTATTTCGCATTCCACACCATTTTATCAGAGCATAAACTGTCATTGGCTTCATTTTATTTTGATGGTGATGCTTTAGAATGGTATCGATGGTTATTTCGCAACAAACAACTCGCTGGTTGGGATCATTTTGTGGACAAAGTGTTGATTCGTTTTCGCTCCCGTACTAGAGACACCTATAGCGAGTTCGTATCCATTCCCAAGCAACATGAGGCAGCGGAGAATTATATAACTAACTCATACTTGCCTCAATACTTGAATGAACACTCAGATCGCAACAAACCAAGCCTAGCACACACATTGTTCAAGGAGATGTCGGATGGGGAAACTAACTGCTTTAGAGATGAAACTATGGTGTTACCAGAGACCCAGGTATGTCATCTTTCTGAACAGGACAACATCTCGGTTTCACTAGAAATTTCGTATGATCTCCTTGCTGAAAACTCTGAGGCAGACCACATGTTCGATAAAATGCCCGAGAAGTGTAATGAAGTAGATTTCTTGGACAATTCCTCTGTTGGAAGTAATATTGATAGTTTTGATTATATGGACAGTAGACCGATTTCTTCAATACCTAGTCTGTATGATGAAATGGTGTCAAATCCAAATTTATCTAAGAACCCTACTAAAGATGAAGCACTTGGATTTCCAAACAAATCCCTCTCCGAACTGTCTCAGTATGATAATGACCAATCAAGTCGAGAAGGAGGACAGAATGTTCGTCCAATATCCTATGAAACACCTCCACCACAAGAGTACCCCACTAATCTGTTGTTGTCTACCTTCGGTGCACACACTGATCATTCCATGAACATTTTTTTCATGCGTGAAGTTGTTGATAATGCTAAGCTTGTGGAAGCAATCACCGCTGCAAAGTACAGAAATGTGGTAGTTGTTGGGGAAGAGTACAACAATTGTGAGCTTCTTGATGACTTGGGACTGTTTGCAATGGACGAGAAAACTATCAAATATTTCAGCATGAGTACAACAAGGGTGTTTGACAACAATCTTTGGTCGTCGTGTGTCATTGGTTGTGGCCACAAGGTCGCAAAATCGTTGATTGGAGATCCAAATTTTAGTTGGACTGTTATTTTTAAGGAATTTGTATTGAAGGACGTAGATGAAACAGTGGATAACACATCTCCTTTCTTCACTAATATCTATTTGCTTGTAGATGATATTCCCACATCTGCTTCTACCATTGGCTGGAATGCTAGACTGGCACGGTTGACGGTTGGAATGGTTGTTCATTCAGCACACAGACACAAACCGCAGGATAGCAAGCTAGTGCACAATGGGAATAACTCTGAAATGTTGGAGTTAATGACAGATTCTGAGTCTGAGCACAATCACATCCATAAAAACTTTTATATTCTTACTTATATTCTTGCTCCGAATGCTTCAAGCAACAATTTACGTTTAATTGATGTACATACATGCCCGGTGCTAGTGCTCATCAACTCTAAATGTGGAGGTCAACTTGGAGGAGAACTTCTTTGTACACTTCGTCATCTTCTTAACAAATATAGAGTTTTTGATTTTGAGAGACGAAGCTCCTGATAGTGTTTTACGTAGACTGTATTTGAATATAGAAAGGCTCAAGGGTAATGGTGATCGATTTTCCACCGAAATTGACGAGAGAATGAGAATTATTGTTGCAGTTGGAGATGGCACAGCTGGTTGGCTTCTCGGAGTTGTATGTGATCTCACACTATCTCAGCAACCTCCAATTGCAACAGTACCTTTGGAAACTGGAAAAGAGATCTTGTTTCTAGAAAATTGGTTTTTGATAACTGATGCGGTGGGAATGCATCTTAATTTCAATCTTGATAGTGGAATATGTTGCAGAGACATCTGTCACTTTAGATGTGTTATGATTCTGGTTAAAGTTGGCCAAGTTATTACAGAGGAAATAGGAGTAATGCCAATTTCCTTACTACTCTTGGAAGACAGCATAGAGTTGCACTTTGCATCAGATCATTTTCTTGGGCTGTTATTGCTGGATGGAAAAGTTTTGTCCAACTTCACACTTGAGACATTGCAGCACGTGGAAGTTGCTACTCTTCAGATAATTGAGAAAGCTGTGGATAGATTTCATGACTTGAACCTTGAGGACAAGGTTCTTAATTGGGATGGGGGTATTGTTATGAACCGAGTCAAGCCCAATGTAGATATTAATGTCATACAAGTTGTTATTGGGCTAACAAGAGCTATTGGGCCGAGAACGAGGAATAGGGTCAGGTTGATTTGGGATCCGGGTTGAGTAGTGGGCATGAAACGGTTCCATCAAAAAGGGTAGTGATATGTGAGTTAGGGATTATGCAAATTATGTGAAGCTTTGGCTTTCTGATCCTCTCATCTCCTTTCTATGGTCTAGAATCTCATCCCCTTCTAGTTACCCTCTTCTATGTTATCTATCTATAATTAGTGTGTTGTTAATGTGTTGTGGGTATTATACGTTGTAACTTGTATTCCGTAATAACAATATATATATCAGTGTTTGTGTTGAAAATTGAGTTTGTTACATGCAGGCAGCATTTGAACTGTTTCATATCCAAATGATACAAGTTGCGGTAGGAAATGACTTCAAATCAGCCCAATAAGTAGTTTCTATTCATGTTTGATGACTCAAAGCGTTAGAAAACAATCAAACACAGAGTAGAAAGAGAAACCAATAACCAAGTTTTATCACTTTATAGCCTTCATTGAGGGCATGTGTAAGGAAAAAAGATTGAAAGAAGGGTATCATGTGAAGGTAAAATAAAATAGTACTCCTAACAAGATTCAGCATACCATTCAGAAAGTTTCCTGGACCCTTACTGATGAATCAATAAAATAATGTTGCCAAGAAAAAGACAGAAGATTCAGAACACTGCTCTGGATCCACCAACAGTACTCACTCTCCAGTGACATGTAATAGAACAGAAAGATACTTGGAACAATATGTGCTGACAAACATGAGTTTAAGTCCAGTAATGAAAACAAAAGTATAATCCACATCTATAGCATAACCCTGTTAGAACTTAGACAAAATAACTGCTATATTTGTGGCAAATACATACTTGGGACCGGTGCACCCCATTGTTGTTCCCAAGCCTCCATTGAGCTTCAGGACAACAAGTTTGTCTAAGAGCTTCTTTGTTTCCGCGGGATCTGCAATGATCAAGATAGTGAAGCTTCTTCAGAAACAGTTTCAATTCACAGCAAAGGCAGATCTAGCTCCTCAGTGCAAATTCAACTAGACTCATTACTTACCATGTATACAAATATAAAAATAATTTTAAAAACATGTGTGCGCACATGTACAAACAAATAAATACCAATTTATATACACATCTGCCACTAATTCTCACTCCTCAATACAGTAGCCAATCAATACAAGAAGAGCAATTTAGCAAATCATAATACCTTCAGAGAGAGGGGCTAACTTGTCGTAAGGCACCACCACGTCATCAGTTGGCGTCTGGATCTTACTCCACTCGACATGTTGTGCCTCACCACTACAATTCAAATGCCAAAATAGATCATGAGTTTATCTGCTCTTGTTTGAGTTTCACAAGCTAAAAACTAGACTTATCTTCTCCAAAACTTAAACCATATCCGAGATCATCTAAATCAATTGACACTAATACATCACTACCTTAAATCAACTAACACTGTCACAAATCCATTCAAGAAATTGGGCATTAGATTAACCACATTCTAAAGTTCAGTTAATTAAAATGATTAGCCTAACTACAAGCAGTAAACAGAGATATATCCAATTGTACCTTAGATAGCGAGTGACAAGGTTAAGAAATTCAGATTTCTCATTATCACTGCAAAAAATAAAAACTCCATAAAAACAATCAGACGAGAAAAAAAAAAATCATCAGGTCTGGATAAGATCGAACAATTCAAAAGCAAACGACACTACCATGCAGCAAGCAAAATCTAGGAAAACCATACTAAATGAGCCATGGATCCAGAAATGGAGAATCTGAGATAAATAAGAAATGATGCTATCATGCAGAGCAAGTAAATCTTGCAAAACTACACACACAACCGGAATCAGAAATGGAAAATTGATTTTCTCATTATTACTGCAAAAGAAAAAGGTTCACACTATATCAAGTACAAATCCAAAAATAAATAAACAAACATCGAGAAATTGTGAAAAATAGAGGAGAAAAAAACGACAATGCAGCTATCGTGAAGCAATGAAACCGCCAGAAATAGAGAAAACTGAGGTACATCGAAGATGATAATAACATGCAGCAAGTAAATCAAGCAAAACTACACATATTCACACACACACATAATAAATCCAGATTTCTCATTATCACTGCAAAAAAAAAAAAAACAGCTCCAGATCAAAAAATGAACTAACATCAAGCAATTGAGAAAAATAGAAAAAAAAAAAACGCAATGCTGATATCGTGTAGCAATGAAACCGCGAGAAATAGAAAAAACTGAGATACATCGAAATCGATACTAGCATGCAGAGCAAGTAAATCTAACCAAAACTACGCATATTCACACACACATAATAAATCCAGATTTCTCATTATCACTACAAAAAAAAAATCAGCTCCAGATCAAAAAATGAACAAAAGCATCGAGAAACTGAGAAAAAATAGAAAAAAACGCAATGCTGCTATCATATATCAATGAAACCTCCAGAAATCGAGAAACTGAAAATCATAGATATTGATCCTAGCATTTACAGCAAGTAAATCTAAGAAAAACTACGTATAATCTCCAAAAAAAAAACAAAAAAACTTGCCTGATTTGAGTAAGGCTGGAAACAGCAGATTTGAGATTAGCTAGCTTCTCGGCATCAGCAGGACTGAGAGCAGGCACCGGAGACATTATTGTAGAAGAGAATTGAGTTTTTCCGATCTGTAGTATGAAGTTTTTCAAAAAAGAGCGTGAACTAAAACGAAAGCTTAAAATTGCGTGAATTGAAAGTGAAGCAAAAAAAATAATGTGAGAGATGGAGGGAAGAGGGAAGGAGTATTTATATAGTAAAGAAAAAGTTCATCGGGATCTGTAAGAAATGTAAAAGTAAAAAATATGTGGGTGAGAGAGAATTGAGAAAACACAAGGAGAATATTATGACTTGTAATGAATTAGTTATTGGAGACTCAAAAAGAAATTGTAATGATGGGTGTGTTCGTAGGAAAATATTTTCCCTAAAAAATGTTTGTTTATGTTGATATTAGTCATATTTATAATGATTTTTTAGGTCATTTTTTTTCTTTCTGTGTTTTTTTCGATGTTTAGAGCGTTCCTATAGCGATCTCAAGTCACAAATGACTTGATGGGATTGACAATTCGGTCACCTAATCGTTCATATGATTTTTGTGCAAGTTTACGTGTTTCAAAACTTTTGAAACCTAAACTTTTGTCTTTGATGTATATTATCCATCATTATGTTATCAAGAGATTGTGATTGAATTTGTATTTGGCCTTTTGATATGATAAGTCAAAGTAAATTTTAGATGAAATTCAAATTATATATATTTATTGACATTACCTAGTGTATTTGTAGCATCCCAAAAATTTTTAAGTTAAGAATCGAACCATTCTTCATTGTGAATAAGATTGTACCGAGTGATTCTAAATTTTCTTAGGTGTTAACGTCACTAGAATCCCCTAGCATAAAGTTGAGTTGGAAGTTTTCTTTCCGATTGAGTTTCACTATGAAATTTTACTTGGGTCAACTTCAAATGATCATATCTTTTTAGAACATAATTAGGTGGTCCATGACCTACCAGATTGAAAGTATTTGAGTCCTCTTTCCAACGCCACCAAATTTGCTAAATTTCGAGCTCGGGGTAAAAGTTATGCCCGTTCGAGTGAAGCCTCTCTATTTAAGGCACTTCATTCGTTTAAAAAAATGGTATTTTGGTCTTTTCCTTTTTCCACTAGTCTTAGCACATTTTTCTTGACCCAATTAAGGCTCTAATCAGATTCTAAATCACTTATTCACGTTCCTAAACACTTAGGGATTTAGAGCGAGGTTTCAAGAGGAGAAAAGGGGATAAGTTCAAGTGTTCTTCAAGATTTGTGGAATTCGCCAAGAGCATCGTTCTTTCCGGGTATGTAAGGCTTCTCACAGTGTTAAACTTATTCGTCGTCACGCCATACATCTAATTCATCCATGAAATCGTTATATTAAGAGATTCTTGAGTAGTTCTTGATTTTAGTTTCATTCTTTAACAATGGAGGTTTTGAGTTTCTTGGGTTGAGGATCTTGAATATGAGTTGTGATTCTTGAAAGGGATTGTATGAAATTAGTCATGTATTTGTGTTGGGGTTGAGAAACAAGAAGAGTTTAGGAGAAATTCCCCAATTCTAAACTAGTTTAAAGTTTGAATTTTACCAAAAAAATCGTCGAAATCGTTGGGAAAGGGTTGGGGCGGCGCGCCACCAGTACGCTAGGAGTGCTGGGGCGATACGCAAGCAGTACGCCCAAATCTAGCCCCAGTACTTTGGGACCTGGCGTGGCACGGCGCCAATACGCCAGGAGTGTTGGGGCAACGCGCCACCAGTATGCCAAGAATGTCTGGTCCTTTTTCTTTCCATGCTTCTTTTCGAACGTGTTCCTTTGAATCGTGACTACGTTCTCTTCTTTGTATGAGCTCCTAAAGGCTCCATTAATCCTTGAGAGTTCTTACATGTTCTAATCACATGTCTTAATATTCATTCAAAATTAAAGTGAGTTTAAGAGAAAAGTTCAAGAGTTTTTATTGAGTTCTATGTATTCAGTTTCTATGTTGTTATTGAGATCCTTGAGTTGATTCGTTCATGTCCATATTCCCGCATTAACCCTATGAATTGAGTATTCTTGAGATAAGTACGATCGTGGAGTTCTAAGTTCTTGAGTTTTGAATATTGAGTTTCCTATATTGTCATTGAGATCCTTGAGGTGATTTGTTCATGACTATATTTCAGCATGAACTCTATATTGAGTTATTAATCTTGAGAATCTTTTAAAGCCAATAAATAAGGTTTAGATTGAGTTTTTGAGGAAAGTTTAAAAAGTCATTTTGAGTAAAGTTTAAGGGAACTAAGTATTCCGGAATGTATCATTTTTACATTGAGAAAGAGAAACTTTGATTTCTAAAAAGAGTCTATGAATTCAAAAGTATTTCAAAGCAGTTACCTATTTTAAGAGGATAGTTTGAGCAATTTGCTCAAACTAGAGAAATAGTATGTTTTACACATTTGAGAATTCAAATTACTGATCTAGTTATAGTGAGGTTTAACTAACAGCAATCCTTCTATGATCTAGCTTCAAGCAAGAGTTCAACAACCGAAAAAGACCAATTCATTAACCTCCACTACAAAAGCAACAAAAACAGGCATCAACATTTGCATTTGGGCACCACAAGCATCAGTAGTAGCAGACATCCAACTTTAGCTTATGAATCATCTAACCCTTCAACTGCATTTAAGGACGAGGCTGGACAAAATGATACATTAATGTGTGTTTCTAAGAAACCGTCTGCATTTGAGGTAGCAGGTGCATCGATGAACTCTCTAAAATTTGATGAACTAGGCTAGGGTTTGTGAGATAAACGAAAGTGACTTAGGATTTGGATCTTTTTTTAGATTTTAGAGAGTATATTTTACCCACAAATTGGGTGGGTTTATTGGGTTATGGGGCGGGTTCATAGGATTTGGGTTAAAAGAATTGGTCAACTGGGTAGTGGCTTAGGATTTCGCCATGTGTACACAAAGAGGGTGCCGTTAGTGGGAGGGGCAAATGTGCACCGATTATTGGACGGCAAGGGCTGAGATGGACGAAAAGTATAACGGAGGGTATAGATGTACCATTTATCAAAGTTTGGGGGTATATTTGTCCTTTTTCCCAAGGTATTTTGATATAATTGACATATCTTTAGTTTAAGACAACAAAATTCAAAAATCTTTTTTATTTTCTTAAACTTGGTATCAAGTAAAAATATGTCAAATAAATTGAAACGGAGGAAGTATTTCATTTATCCTTCTATGTTGTCAATAGTTTCTCATGATCATGTGATCTATTTAGAGAAGCGGAGCCAACTAGTAGTTAGGGAGTTCATCCGAACCACCTTTGATGAAAAATTACACCTTTTATACATGATTAAAATTATTTTTTTACGTGTATATAGTAGATGTCGAACCCTCTCCAACTAGTTAATGTGTTCACTTTTTCAAATTTTGAACCCCTTAATAAAAATCTTGATTCCGTCACTATCCATGTATGTCAATAGCGCCTAGTGCAAGTTTTTATATCAGCTCACTATTCTCGACTTTGAAACACAAAAATCCATATGAATTACAATAAAATTTTGAGAAATATAAAGCTGAGATGTTATAATATTTGTATGGCTATTGGATTATTTAGAGTAAATTGCTATTAAATATAAATTTATTTTTTTAAAAAAAAACTGACTTAAAAAAATGTGAATCATATAAATTGAAATAGAGTAAATAAAGAATTAGAGTTAATTCATTTCGTCAAGGATATTTAACTACATTTCAAAATAAGTATGGTTTAACTCAATCTATTTTGCATTCATTAAAAATAGATAACATAATACTCCTATATAGTTATGAAGGGCTCTCTTTTGTTACACTAACTCGTTGAGAAGATTAGCGAGGTTCTTGCTATGGTGAACTGAAAGATTTTTCACTATAGTAGAAAGGAAACAAGTGGGAGTGACCGTCTTCTCAAGAATCACCTACAACAAGATAATTCCAATGTAATCTCATAACTTGGGGGTCTGTAGAGGGTGGTGTGTCCACAGCCTTACCCCTACCTTGTGAACATAGAGAGGTTGTTTCCGATAGATACTTAGCATAAGAATCACCTAATACAGATATTGAAGAAGCAACTATTGAAGCAACAAATATTTAGGAGAAGCACCTATATAAGCAAACCGATATGAACCAGCAGAGTGAGCGATAAGTGTAGAGATTATTGGTTATAACGAAGGGCTTACCAACAAGCCAAATTACTACGCCATTTCCTGCAATTCCCCTTCTCAACAGGTATGCACAATGTAAGAAGATCGGTAAGCAGATATGTGAACAGATCAACAACAACCCGCCACTTAAACTTCTCGATATATTCATCACATATAAGCTACAGCCACAATGGCAGTCAAGAAGAAGAGTACCCAACTTAACACTCATCTTGGTAAACATGTAGCTTCAGTACATAGGAAAATCTTGACATGGCAAAAAGAACATCAATGAGCTCAGATTTGAACAAGATAGTATATTAAAGAAAACAAATTGCATAATATCAGAAGGATAAACAAGAAAATTCCCATATTGCAAATTCTAATTAAAGATGTTTATACTCAATATGAACTCTTAACGCAACTTCAAACCGAAGAAAACAGAAAAATAGTAGTAACAAAAATCAGTTTCAACAGAAATGTTGTAGGTGTTCTTCCTTTAGAACACAAGCTCGTGTGGTTTCATGCCTGACTTCAACGAGAACCTTGCAGACAAATACGCCTTCAATTCAGGAATTCCTTCAATGGTCTTGAGCAATGCAGCATCCACAGCTTTCTGCTCATCTTTCTTTTCTTGTGGAAGCACATTCTTCTCCTGCATTCAACAAACAAATACAAACCATATTTAAATCAAACAATGCTCAAATGTCTTCTCCCGCATCAAACTAGATCACACAAAGCTGAGGAATATTAACAATGTAGGTTAAACAAAGCGTGTACTCACTATTACAAGGGAGTACCGAGGGCATCAGTTCTCACCAATATATATTAAACTAAAAGTCAGAACTTTTTTTTCGAAAGTAAATGCTAAAACCATCTCTAACCAAGATCATAACAACACAATTCCATTTTTCTCTAAATTGTATAGAAAATAGACTTCTAAATGTGATGCTCATTTCATTAGCTACTTTTTACTAACAATAAATATCTTTATATACTAAACACTCGCGAACAATAAGTAGCGCCATCTTCAGAATTTCAACATTCCCACAGCATATAAGTTATTAATATATTCATCCCCAAAGCAAGTTAATCACACACACTACAATCGTTCTAATAAATCCGATATCTATACTAAGTCCCATGACTATAAATATCTTCATGTACCAAAAGCTCACTAATAAGTACTACATCATTGCAACATTCAAACAGCATATACGCTACTATTCCCTCGGTTTCAATTTGTTTGTCTGCTACTCTTTTATATCATTACTTTAGTTACTTCACCGCAAGATTAACGAGCATTTTGTTACATTTGTCGTATATTTAATAAACTCTGTGTCGAATCAAAATAGGACAAACAAATAGTAATGGAGGGAGTATACCAATGTATAATACTAAGTCCAATTGAGTGAAAAATACAGAATTTCATAAAAAGGAGACAAATTTAAGCAGAAAATGAACAAACAAACAAACCTCTTTCTTGTCTTCAAAAAACTCTCCTTCTCCCTTCTTCTGCTTCTTCTCAACCTGCTTAGCAAAATACTTATCATCAATCTTCTCCACATTCACTCCAGAAACATCAACCTTCGTCGAGGTACCAATAACATAAGCTTGATTCACACGTCTCAATGGAACTCCATTAAGCTTAAACGGACCAGTAACAAGAAGCAATCCAGAAGTAAGCTGCTTCAAAAACACAACTCTCTTTCCCTTAAACCTACCAGCAAGGATAATCAACACTGTTCCAGGGGTAATACTTGCCCTAAGCTTTGTAGGTTTTGGCTTGTGTTTGTTAACAAGGGGCTTTTTCACGTCATCGGCAGGGTAGAATTTTGGTGGCTTTACAGCGGCGACGGCGGCGGCGGGTTTTTTCTCGTGGAGGGGTAATTTGCCGCCGTTTTTCTTCTTAATTGCCCATAAACCCTTCTTATGGTACATTTTGGAACGTGAGAACTTTCCGACGCCACGGATTAGCTCTGGGTTTCGGATTGTCTTCTTCGCCGCCATTGGAGAAACGCTTGAGAAGCTCTGGTGAAAGAGTGAAAACCCTAGATTTGAAAAATGGAGAATTGCTGAGATTTTTTCAGCCTCTAATTTATGTAAAATGGATAATTAGATGAAAGCCCGTGTGTATATTGGGCTGGCCCATGTAATTTTTCATGTTTGGGCTAGTCACAGATTTTCACCCGATATTTGGAATTCGATTAAAATAATTTGGGTAGATTCGCGTTGGAAAGTTCCACTTACAACATTAGAACTAAAATGTTCTTTATCAAAGATGAATTCATATCTAAAACTCGAAGTCAGAGTTTTTAATTAAAGATAAAGAAGTACTTATCGCTACATATGTATAGAAATTTTATGAGACTATAAAAGTTATTTCTCATTGCATATATTAGAGTTGATTGTAACATGCATTATTCCAGATAATTAAAACGAAAATTTACCAATATAAAGCTTGTAGCCATAGTGATCCTATTCAGCCAATTCGATCATTTTTTAGCACCTTATATCTTTTTTTGGGGCGTCCTAGTATCCGAGCACTTTTGTATGATTTCTCTTGCATTCGCCTTTCCAAATGGGTTTTGAAGATAAAAATCATTTATTGATTAACTCATAAATTGACCTGGGTAATCAATCTTGCAATTGGATCGTTGAAATTACGAGTATGATGTCTAATTGTCCAGACAGTAATGGTAGTATCTTTTACCTTAACCGGTGACTCACTTTTTTTAAGTAATATGGAAGAGGACTGAAACTTACATAAATTTCTCTAGTTTAGGAGCCAATTACTTAAATGCACTTTAGTTTGCAATATTACGAATACGTCTAGATACATGTATCTCGGGATATATGGGGTCTAAATTAAGGTGTAATTTGTTTTAGATGCATTGTATCCAAATGGATTCACATGTATCTGTGATATATAGCAAATATCGCTCGCCACTCGCCTATATATCTGGTATCCCATATACATGTAAATCACACCAGATACATATACATACATGTATCTACTGTCATTCGCATGTTTCTGAGATACTTGATCATCTCACTCACCTCTCTCCCTATTTTAGTGTATCATGAAGCAAAAAACTAGGTGAATCTTTCTTAATGTATAATAAGAAATTCTTAATTAATGATAAAATATATAATATTTTTAAAATATTATATAGGGCTAACCCATCGGTGGCCCCTTAAAGTTGGCACCAAATTTTACTTAGACACTTTAACTAAATTTTGTTCATTTTAGACACCTTATGTAGGGTTCTGTTGTGTCATTTGGACACTTTTTTAACAATCACCCAAAAATATAAAGTGTGTGTTAAACACTCGCCGATGACGTGTCAAAATAACAAATTAAACAAAGACACATGTCATATATATAAAAAATAATTCTAAACTAATGACTTTTAAGTAAAAAGAAAAATAACCACTAATTTGATGACATGTGGCATTTCAAACTCAAATAATAAATATTTTTTAAAAAGAAATTCATCACTTCTAATTTTCATCAAGAAACTCACCCTTGTCTTCTTCACCCAACCAACCCAGGCGTCTTCTCCACTCCACCCATCTCAACCCCAACCGCTCCTCCACCCCCACTAGATCGTCCATCCTCTTTACCCCCACCCACCCCAACCTCAACCCTTTTTTCACTCTATCGTCATTTCAAGAAACATTTTTAAAAGAATTTAATAACATTGAAAAAATTAATTTATAAAAGCATAATTTTTTTTTCTTCTTTACTTCTAAAAAGAATCAGTTATAACTAACAATGGAAGAATTGTTTTTTTTTTGCATTTCTCGAATGTGCAGAGAATTCAAATATGTGAACAAGAAATAGAGTAATTATTTCGTGGCACTAAAATTTAATTGTTGGATCTAAAGAAAAAGAATGAGAAGAAGATGATGGTTGTGGTGATTTTCAGATCTGTAAAATTAAAAATTGCTTCGATTTTAATAGGATTAATGGCGATAATACAGCGGCGGTGGGTTGATGGTGTGTGGTGGATGAGATAATCACAAAGAAAGAGGGAAGAAGATGAACAATGTTTTTAAAATAATATTTTGATAAAAAAACCTTTCACGCGCTGACTTTGAGTGTATTACACTCACCATGCCATGTCAGCAAAAAGTGTCAAAATGACATAACGAGATCCAACATAAGGGGTTTAAAATGAACATCGCCTAGTTGAGGTAAGTGAAACTTCGTACCAACTTTAGGGGGTTACCGATGAATTCTACCTAATAATAATATATATGCTCGTGAAATATGCCCAATTACATAGATTCTCCTAAATATATCCCAGGTTAAAAATCTTTTGTTAGTACATCAATATAGATAAATGTTATATCTTGGGCTCCAAGTAGCAATTAAACCTCACTTTATCGACTTGCTATATAATAAATCGATTAAAATAGTAATCAACTTTATATTTTTGAAAAAATATCAAATAGGATGAACATGTTCACATTTGCCTTTTGACTTAATATGGTCAATTGGTCATATATACTTTGTTTTGTATACCTAATAATTAACTTTTTAATTCATTTTAATATTACATTTTTACTTAAATTCCTCCTTAAAGCAAGATATTAATAAATTTTAATTGCTTAAATTTGACCCAAAAAGAGTTTTGAGTTAGCCTTCCATTGTCCTCCTTTTGCTATTGAATAACAAATTTTCCATTCTATTATATTTTTATTTTTTTTCAAGAAGATAGTTGATAAAAAGATGAAGAAGAAGAAAAATATTTAATTATATTAAACACTTATAATATGACCCAATTTCATACATATTGCATGCATTTTAAAAAGAAACAAAAAGAGAGAGAAAATTGTAAGATAGCATACTATGCAAATGGAAGAAAATAAAACTAGAAGAAGTAAAGAAGGTAGAAAAAATATCTCTTTGGCATAAAAAACGATCGGTTATGAATGAATGAATAAGATTGTTTTATCTTAAGCATGAGTTTTGAATATAAACAATATTTCTTTAAAGAATATTTTTTAAAAAATAAATTTTATGTGGCTCAAATTCAAATTAACCAGTTCTAATACGAATATCAAATTTTAAATGAATAATAATAAAAAATAAATAAAAAAATATCTTCCTTTCACCTCTTTTGTTCCCCCTCCACTTTTAAAATTAATTTATGTCAAATTTATAATTAAAATTCTTGCTCTATTTTTAAAGTCATGTTTAGGTTTTTATTTTTATTTTGGTTTTCTAACCTAATACATTCATATTAAAGCTCAATTAAATTTGAATTTGTGTAAAAAAATATATATTAAGGGTAGAACATTCTCTAATAAAAACGACTCTAAATCCAAAATATTAGAGTCCAAAATATTTGATGTATTAAAAATGAATGAATACTTATCGGTATAAAAGTTCTTCTAGAAAAGTAATCTTATGAGTTGACTTTAATTAGTTAACTTATACAATACACATATAATGTTCATCTATGCTTTTTGAGTGTGTAAAGAAGAAATGCACTTTGAACAAAAAGTGAGGACTCAACTAAAGTAAAATTTGGGGGCCAATAGTAATATTATACATAAAAATCAATTTCTATTCTTTTCAAAATCTCTTTTAATTACTATCATTTTTACTCGATCAATCTGTAAAAAATATACTTTGAATTTAAAAAGAGGGGTAATGCCTCGTTTATTAACTACACGGACCGAGCACCATACATTCACATTGCAATACATACATATAACTCGTTAATCTACGTCAAACAACGACTCAAATAACAAAACAAAAAGGTAAAACCCTTTTCGTTATAAATTTTCAATACGAAGATGAATATGAAATTGTGACCTAATGATTCCTTCGACCTTCAAAATTTGGATTTATATATATATATGAAAATAAAAGTTTTTGTATTATAAACAACCCGTTTCAATTTTGAACATTAAATATTCAAATAATTCATATTAGCTGACGAAAATACCAAATGCTTATTGTAATTGAATCGTTTCAGGTTCACGCAAGTTGACACGAATATTATAATTATCAAAAACAAAATATGTACCTTGTATCACGTTATTTTCCTTTTTTTTTCTTCTTTTGTTGCGTTGGTTCATATATATCGAGTGTTAGTTTTTTTTTTTTTTAATATGTAATAGTGTTGTCATATTGCATGTCGGTGGAAAGTTCCAAAAGGCCCCTAATGTGAACAAGTCCAACAATGGGAAAAAGAAATTTTATTTTTCACTATTGATATTCGATATTTCTATTGAAATTTGACTAAATTCAAACTTGCATTTATAGAGTCCATTATAAGTGGATGTTTCAATAATTTTCTTTTATTTTCAAAAATATAAAATCAAAGACCTATCAAAAAATCTCCAAATTCAAACTTGAATATTATAGAGTCCATTATAAGCGGATGTTTTCAATAATTTTCTTTTATTCTCAAAAATATAAAATAAAAAACCTATCAAGAAAAGAAAAGAGATTTTGAATATCTCACCATACTTATATTGATTCACTTATTTTTATTACTTTTTTGCAATATAAAACAAGTTGATTATTTTTATTTAAGTAAATGAACATTCTGTAAAGTGGAATGTTTAATTCAATTAATTAAAGTCAGGATATTGCAAATCAATAATCAGTACTACGAGATATGATTTACAAAACCTCAATACAGAAATTTAATGAACAAATTACCAAATATAACTATATTCACTACTAATAAAAAGGCATAAATACTTAAATATATATTTTAATTTGATTTCATTTGATATTTATGCTCTCCATTTTCAGGTATACATAAATAAACACTCAAAATTATATAAAATTAAACAAGTAAACATACCGTCCTACGTGGTATAGTATACGTTGAAAGCCACGTAAACTCAAATTACTGTATACAACGTCGTCAGTGGCGGAGTCATAATTTTCAATAAGGGGTTCAAAATCTGTAGAAATAGACATACAAAGTTGCCGAAGGTGGTTGGATATACTATATAAACATAAAAAATTATTCTAACCATGTATAAAAAATATAATTTTCTGCCAAAAAAAGTTCCCCATTAGTATAAGGTGACTCC